TCTAGCTTTCTTTTTTTCATACTCCTATGCAATTTTGCTTGGTAGTAGACACTTTTCATGTCACTCCCGATGCTGTTTTTCACATAAAGTAAACAACATTGGAGAAAAAGTGTTCGAAAAAACCCACAAATCGCTTCTATAAATTCATTCGAAATTCAGTCGATTGTTGAACAATCGATCATCGAACGTATAAACTGTTTTTCAAATGTAAGCAGATTATTGTCCTCGTAAGATTTTTTCTTCATAGTTCTACTAACGATGCTCGATGTTTATGTGTAAACTCTGCTTGGCATACATATATTTTTGAAGAAAATAGTGAGTGTAAATTTAAGGGGCAGAATTTTGCGGCTCCCCGCCTCCTCCCCTTACAGACATTAAAAGCTAATTATTAATTAGAATAAAAAATTTTAAAAATGAAGGAAAAGCAAAAAATAGGAAAAATGCGAAAGAAAGAAGGGCGCCAACCAAAATACAATAATCTTTTGAAAAATTAGTACACAGAAAAAAGGTTCCATGCGGAACCTTTTAGCGCCAAAAATGGTTTCGTGCGTGCTATGGAACTTAAAAATAATTTCGTACATACTATGGAACTTAAAAAAGGTTTCGAGATTTGCAACGAAATCTAAACCTTTTGAAGGTTTCGTAGACTTTCATTGAAACCTCTAAGAAAGTTTGAATTTCGTTGCCAATTAAGTTCCGCGTAGAACCTTTTTTTGAGTGTAGCCTGAGAAATTTCTCATTTTACACATTTTTATTGGTTTATCGAGGCTTCAAGGATATACGTGAGTTCCACATTTTAGCCCCAAAGGGGTTGCATTGAATAGCGTTTTCAACTCAACTCAACTCAATTCAATTTCTTGAATAAGATTTTTTCCAACTCAACTCAATGCAATTCCCTTCCCTCCCTTCCCGCTCAGATTAAAAGGCCCCAGGCTTTCTAAAATGACCAAGAACAATACAAATTTAGGGAGGCCTGCTATTTAGGTGACCCTTCTATTAGAAATGTACGAAGAAAAATGTAATGTTACAAATTTGATTCAGACAAGAAAAAGGAGGCAGTATTATATTAAAGACATGCTCATACAGAAGGGGAATCACTATTATTCCAAGTCATACTACATACAAAGAACAAATTGAAACCGTGGATACAATATAAGGCGCAAGCCTTCTATTTAGGCAATCACTCAACATTTTTAGGTGGGCCTTCTAATCGGGGAGCCCTCTCTAATCCAAGACGGCTTTCTATTCCGGGGAGGGATTTAGTAGACTCTGTAAAATGTTTATCAACTCAATTCAACTAGGTACATGAATTGAATTAAGTTCAGTACAGTTGCTCGTTTTTTTAATTGAGTTCCCCAGCTATACTTCAATGCGTTTACGGAGTCCTGTCGGAATCACCAAGTCGACTTTTCTATAGGATTGCAATCAAAATCGCCACTCCCTAATGGAAGCCCTAAACCATTTGTAGTATTGGATGTGTTCCAACAATTCTGATGGTTTCCTCCATCACATACAGCTCAGTTATTATCGAATGTTTATTAGGTTCCATGGATTCCGTGAGCTACGTGGGTTCAGCAGTCGGCGGGGTTCCGTGAGTTCGGTAGTTCGGCAGTTCCGCAGGTTCCGTGAGTCCAGCAGTTCAGGGAGTTCAAGATTTCAGGGGGTTCCGTGAGCTCGCCAGTTCCGAAGGTTTTGTGAATTCTGCTGTTTCGTGAGTCCTGAGGGTTCTATGAGTTGCGTGAGTTCAGCAGTTCAGAGGGCTCCGTGAGTTCAGTAGTTCCGAGGGTTCCGTGAATTCTATAGAATTTATTGCTAAATAATATTGGTGTAGAGTTCGAAGAGTTCCGTGAGCTCAGAACACACGCAACTCGGACACCTCTCAATTGGTATTTTTAAAATGTCTTCTTTTTAGTGAAAACACATTCGAAGTACAGACTCTTACTGTTTTCTTTCGAGAGTATAAACGTGGAATACATATGTAATGATTGCCTAAAAATGCGTCTTTGCGTTTTCTAGATTAAGAGACACATCGTATTTTTCTATTCAATACAGATGGCGAGTCCAGAGTCGATTATAAAGTTGATATTCGCCTGTGCTATGCGTATTAAGGGCATGGCGGATAAAACAAAAGGGAACAACGAAGACGTTAATGATTTATCGGAAAGAATCCAAACGCTAACTAGTGAACTGAACCCAAAGAAATTCACCCATCAAGGATCAATGAAAGTACTTGGAAGCTTATTGGATTGCATTGAAAACTGCGAACAGTTCATAAAAAAATATTCTACTCATGGCAGTGCAAATCACTTTTTTAAGAGCGGTGAGTACTCAAAGCGTTTCACAGAATTGAAGAGCAATTTATTGGCACGTCAGATGGACTTGAATACGATTTTAAATCTTAAACAGACTCACAATCAAGAAATATTCGGGCAAAAGGTGGACTCTGGCTTTGCTGACACCAAACAAGGGATACATAGAATTGAGCAAAAGTTCGACGAATTAAATAAACGAGTCGGTAAGGTGTGCTCAATAGAAGGGGTGTGGGTGTGGGTGTGCATTAGAAGAAGAAGACCCACACTCACACCCTTACTTCTATTTGTTATATTTACCTATATTTGTTGTGAGCACAATAAGAGCCCGTACCGCTTTCTCTACTCGCAAAAAAAGGGTATCGCCGGTACGTGTTGTTGAGACGATCCTAAACAAAAAGAAGAAGAGTAACTTATATTTTAAGATTGAACGTACCACTGAATTGATTATTTATATATTCCCAAATAACGGGTGCGGCAGAATAAATGGCCCTCTAAGTATTTGGTGACATCTCTTCGGATTTCTATCCGATTGGACTAATTTTAAAAAAGAAAACACGGTCTCAGGCTCTACAAAACTAGTCACTTTATCTGTGAATTCATAATACATTTACGTTTTAATATAATGAAAAGTAAAGATCTCCAAAATATTGTACTTTCAAAGTACCAGAATGGTGATACTCCAACAAAAAATTTTCGTGATTTAAATGGTGGAATCGGTTTAAGAACAATCAAACGATGGTGCCAAATGATCCTTCAATCGGGCTCTATCACACTATCAAGTCCACCAGGTTGTCCAAGTTTGGCCAGAACGAAAGGAAATATTCAAAAAGTAAAAAATCGTTTACGCCGAAAAAAAAAGAGTATCAGCTCGAAAACTTTCAATGGAGCTCGATATTTCCGAAAGAAGTGTTCGGCGAATATTGAAAAACGATTTAGGGCTGCATCCCTATAAAAAAAAAGTTGTCGAACCATTACTTTCTGATGATCAAAAGATCAAACGGGAAAAGTTTGCAAACTGGATTCGAACAAATTTTCGAAAAGAAGAAAGCATGAGGATTCTTTTTTCGGATGAGAAGTTTTTTGACATCGATGGTGTGTATAGCTCTCAAAATGATCGAGTGTGGGCAATTGATCGTGCTGATGCCGATAAAAATGGTGTCATTAAGCAAAAACGAAAGTTCCCACAGAAAGTAATGGTTTGGTTGAGTGCCTGTTCCAAGGTGGTAACCCCCTTGGTGATCCTGGATGAAGGAACAGTCGATCATGCTGTTTATATCGAAAAAGTGCTTCCTGTTGCATTAAAATATGGGAATCAAGTTTTCGGTAGCGACTGGGTCTTTCAACAGGATGGCGCCAAGCCTCACTCGCATCATTTGACACAGCAATGGTGTCGAGACAACTTTCCATCATTTATTGGCAAAGATCGTTGGCCTCCAAATAGCCCTGATTTGAATCCTTTGGACTATTCAATTTGGGATGAACTTGTCAATACTATCAATTGGAACAAAGTTCAGTCAGAAACAACATTGATTCAACAAATAAAATCATCATTTAAAACATTCGTGAATCAGTTGTTTTTGAAAGTTGTGCTAGCTTTACCAATCGATTGTATCGTCTTTGTCAAAACGATGGAAACTATTTGCGCTAATAAAAACAATCCAGTTTTGTAGAGCTTTAGAGCGCGAATCTTTTGAAAAAAAATTAGCCTCACCAAATGAAAAGTGAAAGAGATATTATCAAAATACTGAGAGGGCCATTTATTCTGCCGCACCCATTAGATAACAACTTTATCTCATTTGATCATATTGAACTTGAATTTCAATTGATTATTGCTACATACCTAAATATAGAAAATATTGAAGTCATTTAATCAGATTGCAATTACCTTTCTAATAATAATTCTGATGTATCAAAATAGATAAAAGATTAATCATCTTTTATAATTTACCAATTATTATTGAATTGATTTATCGCGGCACACCTACACAGGTTCATGAATCCGACAATGCGATCTGATGGGACCCGGTCAGACCCCACAGCATTTTAATCGGATCTCATCGGATTTCATAACTATCCAATAGGAATACTCCGGATGCCCGAGTTGAGGAATCTGACTCGGATCCCCAGGGTGGGAATGGATGATGACAAATTCGGATTCCTTGACATCGATAACCTATTCGAAACTTTCTCCAGAATTGAGAGTGGAGTTGAAATAAAAACTCTCAATTTGAAGCCTTTGAATTTCGGATGGACCCAATTTCAGACCAATCAGAGTTCGGATTGAAAAAATGATGACGGATTAGGATTCATGGACCTCGATAACCTATTTCAGATTTACATTAGTTTAATCACGTTCAGAAAATATCGCATCATGGTTTAAGCCGAACCAATTTCGAAAAATGGTTCAGCATAAAAAATGGCGCAACAAAGAACCCTTTCAAACATCTGGAACTATGCGTGATCTGAAATGGTTCTTTAAAGTCGCTAGAACCTTTGATGGTTTATTACTAAACGCATAAAACCTTAAAAGATTAAATATCTTCGCTAGAACCATTCTTGAGTCCAAACGTTTAAGTATGACAGCATTTCTGTGAGAGTACGAAATGTTTAAATTCTCGGGAAGCCTTTGGAATGTTCAATGCAAATTCGGACACCTACATTAGTTGACTGGGACACCATTTTCAATTAGCGTTTTCTAGGAAACCCATTTTTGATTTTTATGATCCCCTTTTGAAATTGGGTTTTTTTCGGGCACGCTCGGAAACTGAAAATGGTATCCGCGTGGGTGTCCGCACTCCTTTCGGTTTTCTCGGATACGGAATTGTTTTAGAGCGTACTGCACCACTTTTGCACCGTGATGCTCCATGAGCGAACGCACCTGCAACGCTTTTTCCAAAACACCAACACATATGAACAGAAGCACGATGATGCATGTCCCACGGCCATGTTATGCTGGATCAGCTGATCGAGTCGCAACCTTTCATTGAAAGTCAGCAAATGAGGTGGTCACAAGTATTATGATGAGTGTTCTTTTTCGTTCGATGTTGGATCAGCTGATGCATTCGCAACTATTGTTGGCAACTGAGGAAAAGTAGTGAACAGAAACATGATGATCAATGTTCGTCTGCCATGTAATACTCGATGAGCCCACTCAGTCGACACGTTCGCTTCAAAGTCAGCAAAAGACATGTTCAGAAGTATGCTGATGAGTGTTCCTTTTTCGTGTGATGTTCGACCAACTAATCGAGTGCCAATGTTCACTTAAAAATCAGCAAAATAGGTGATGAAAAGGATCGTAATCAATCTTCCTTTTTCATGCAATGTTCGATCAATTGATCGAGAAGCAACGTTCGCTTGAAAGTCAGGAAAAGACATGATCAGCAGTATGTTGATGAATCTTCCTTTTTCGTGTGATGTTGGAAAAGCTGATCAAGCCTCGAGGTTCCCTTTTAGATCAGCATCAGAGATGATAAAAAGTATGCTGGAAAATGTTCGTTTTTCGTGCGATATTTGATCAGCCGATCGAGTCGCAACATTCCCTGCACAGTCAGCAAAAGAAGTAATCACAAGGATCGTCATAAATCTACCATTTTGATGTGATGTTATATCAGCTGATCCAATCGCCACATTCCCTTGAAAGTCAGTAAAGCACGTGATTAGAAGTCTGCTGATAAATGTTCCTTTTCCGCGTGATGCTGCATCAGCTGATCGATTGGCGACCTTTGCTTCAAAATTCAGCAACGCAGCTGATCAGATATTTGTTGATGAATGTTCCTTTTTCGTGTGGCGCTGAACCACCTGATCAAGTCACAACATTTGCTTGATCGCCAGGAACACAGGTGATCACGACTATGCTGATAAATGTTCCTTTTCCGCCCCATTTGCGATCAGGTTACTGAGTCGCAGCGATTGCTCGCCATTCAGGAAAACTAGTGAACACGAGTATGATGATGTATGTTCGACTGCCATGTGATGTTTGATGAGTACACTCAGTCGCAGCGCTCGCTTCAAAGTCAACGAAAGAGGTCATCAGGAGTATGCTGACGGATGTTACTTTTTCGTGCGATGATCGATGAGCCCATTGAGTTCAAACGTACGCACGACAGTCACCAACACAGGTGATGTGAAGTATCGTGATGAATGTTCCATTTACGTGTGGTGTTGGATCAGCTGATCGACTCGCAACGTTCCCTCGAACATCCGCAACAAAGGTGATCAGAATGATCGTAATGAATATTCCATTTTAATGTTAGGTTGAATCAGTTGATCGACTCGCAACGACTACTCGTAATTGAAGACAAATGTTGAACAGGAGTATGATAATGAATTTTCCTCTACCATGCCATGCTCGATGAGCGCACTCAGACGCAACGTACACTTGGAAGTCAGCGAATGAGGTGGTCCCAAGCATGATGATGAATATTTCTTTTCCGTGTGATGCTGGATCACCTGATCGATTGTCAACAGTTGCTTCAAAAAGAGCGAAAGGCGTGATCAGAAGTATGCTGATGAATGTTCCTTTTTCGTGTGATGTTCAATCAGCTGATCGAGTCCCAGCCTTCGCTTCAGAGTCACCAAATGAGGTGGTCTGAAATATGATGATGAATATTCCTTTTTCCTGTGATGCTCGATCAGCTGATCGAGTCGCAACTTTCGCTTCGAAGTCAGCAAAAGGAGGTGATCACAAGTATCTTGATGAACCTTCCTTTTTCGTGTGATGTTGGATCAGCTGATCGAGTCGATACTTTAGCTTCAAACTCAAGAATAGAGGCGATCAGGCGGATCGTAATCAATCTTCCTTTTTCATCTGATGCTGGATCAGCTGAACGAGTCGGAACGTTCCATTTCGAGTGAGCAAAACAGGTGATCAGAAGCATGATAATGAGTGTTCCTTGTTCGTGTGATGTTGGATCAGCTGATCAAGCCGCAATGTTCGCTTGTAACTCAGCAAATGAGTTGGTGAGAAGTATCTTGATGAATGTTCCATTTACGTGCGATGTTGCATCAGCTGATAGAATCCCTATGGTCGCTTGAAAGTCGGCAAACTAGGTGACCAGCATCATGCTGATGACTGTTCCTTTTTTGCCTAAACTTGGATCAAGTGATTGTCTCAACGCTCGCATAAAAGTCAGCAAAAGCGGTGATCTGAAGGATCATAATGAATTTTCCTTTTTCATGTGATATCGCATGCGCTGATTCCATCACAAGATTCGCTTAAAAGCCGGAAACTAGGCGACCAGCACCATTCTGATGACTGTTCCTTTTTCATCCGATGTTGGATTAGCTGATAGTGCCGCAACATAAGCTTCCAAATCAGCAAAAGAGGTAATCAAAAGGATCGTACTCAATCTTCCTTGTACATGTGATATGGGATCAGCTAATTAAGTCGCAACATTGCCTTAAAAGTTACCAAAAGAGGTGGTGATAAGCATGGTGATGAACCTTCAGTTCTCGTGTAATGTGGGGCGAGCTGATCGAGTCACAAAGTTTGCTTCGCAGCGGCAGAACTGTTAAACAGAAGGATCTTAATGAGTGCTCAATTATAATGTGATATATGATCAGGTGATCGTGTCGGAAAGTTTGATTGAAAGTCTGTGAAATAGGTGATGAGAGAAATGATGATGAATGTTGCTTTTTCATGAAATGTTGGATCAGATGATAACGTCCCACGTATGCTTTGAAGTTACATAACATTTAAACAGGAGGATCTTAGTTTTTGTTCAATTATAATGTGATACTAGATAAGTTGATCGACTCGTAACGTTCACTTGAAAGTCAGCAAAGAGGTGATCAAAAGTATGATAACGAATGTTCCTTTTTACTGTGATACTCGACAGCTGATCGATTCGCAACGTTCGACTTAAAGTCAGCATAAAACGTGATCAGAAATTTGCTCCGGAAGCTTCCTTCACCGTGTGATGTTTCACCAGCTGATTCAGTGTCAATCTTCGCCTGGAAGCCAGAAAACACAGGATTATAAGTCTGCTCATGAATGTTTCTTTTTCGTGTGATATTGAATCTGCTGACCGGGTCTCAACCTACCCTTGAATGTCAACAAAAGGCGTGATCAGAATTGTCGTGGCAAATATACCTGTTTCCTATCATCCTGGATCAGCTGATCGAGTGACAACTTTCTCTTGAAAGTCAGCGAAAGACGTGATCAGAAGTATCGTGATGAATATTCCTTTTTCGTGTGATATTTTGTCAGCCGGCTGAGTCGCAATGCTCCCTTCAAAGTTAGCAAAGCACGTGATCGGAAGGGTGATGATGAATATTCCTTTTACGTGTGATCCTGGATGAGCTGATCGAGTCGGAACGTTGGGTTGAACGTCAGGAAAATACCTAATCAGATCTATGCTTAAGAATGTTCGTGTTTTGTCTGATCTTTAATCTGCTGAGCGAGCGGCAACGTTCGATTGAACGCGAGCAACAGAGATTATCAGAAGTTTATTTATCAATGTTCATTTTTGGTGCGATGTTGGATCAGCTGATCGAATTTCAGCTTTCAGCTGAAAGTGAAGAAAAAACGTGAAGAGAAGTGTCGTGATGCATGTACCGTTTTCTTGTGATGGTTGATGATGTGATCAAGTCGCAATGTCAGCTTGAAACTCCAGAAAAGAGGAGAGCAGAAGCCTGATGATGAATGCTCTTTTTACGTGTGATGCTGAAGCGCCTGATCCAGTCGGAACGTTGCTTTCAAAGTCATGAAAACATGCGATCAAAAGTATATTCATGAATGTTCGTTTTTTCTCTGATACTGTATCAGCTGCTTGAGTCGCAAGGTTCCCTTGAAAGTCAGCGTAAAAAATTATCACAACGATCGTAAAGAGTATTCCTTTTTCTTATGATACTGGATTAGCTGATCGAGTCGCAACGTTCTCTTGAAAGTCAGCGTACAGCTTGATGACAAGGATCATAATGAATTTTCTCTTTTCATGTGATGTTTGAATAGCTGATAAGCAGCAGAGGTCGCTTGCAAGTGAGGGAAAGAGGCGAGGAGAAGTATGCTAATGAATATTCCTCTCCCATGTGATGTTGGATTAGCTGGTGGAGTCGCAAGATTCGCTTTTTAGTCAGCAATACAGATGATCACAAGGATCATAACAAATCTTCCATCTTCATGTGATGTTGGATCAGCTGATTGAGTCGTAGCATCCCCTTCGACGTGAACTAAAGAGCTGAGCAAATCTATGCTGATGAATCTTCCTTTTTCGTGTGATGTGGTATTCGGTGAACAAGTCGCAAAGTCTGCTTTGAAGCGTTAAAACAGTTGCACAGAAGCTTGTTAATTATTGTTCCATTTTAATGTGGAGTTGGATCGCCTGGTGGAGTTGCAACGTACATTTCTGTATCAGGAAAAGTCGTGATCAGAAGTATGCTGATGAATGTTCCTTTTTCGTGTGATGTTCAATCAGCTGATCGAGCCCCAGCCTTCGCCTCAAAGTCACCAAATTAGGTGGTCAGAAATATGATGATGAATATTCTTTTTCCGTGTGATGCTCGATCAGCTGATCGGTTGGCAACGTTCTCTTCAAAGTCAGCAAAAGAATTGATCGCAACTATATTGGTGAACCCTCATTTTTCCTGTGATCCTCGATCAGCTGACCGAGTCGGCGCGTTCGCTTCAAAGTCAAGAAAAGAGTTGATCAGAAGGATTTTTATGAAAGCTCGTTTTTTATGTGATGTTGGATAAGGTGATTGAGTGGCAACGTTCGCTTGAAAGTCAGTAAAAGACGTGATCTGAAGTTTGATGATATATATTTGTTTTCCCTGTGATGCTGGATCAGGCGATCGAGTCCGTACGTTCACTTGAAAGTCAGCTACAGACGTGATTAGAAGTATCGTAATGAATGTTCCTTTTTCATCTGATGTTGGAGGAGGTGGCCGATTAGCAATGCTCCATTCGAACGGGCAAAGCAGTTGAACTGAAGGATTATAACGAATGTTCCTTTCGCATGTGATCTTGGATCAGCTGGTTGAGCCGAAACGGTCGCTTGAAAGTGAAGAATAGAGGTGATATGAAGCGTGCTGATGAATTTCCCATTGTCGTGTGATGCTGGATCAGGTAGTCGAGCCTTAACATTCGCTTGAAAGTCAGCAGAATCTGTGATCCGAAGTATGCTGATGGACGTTTCTGCGTCGTGTGATGCTGGATCAACTTATGGAGTGGCGAATTTTATTGGGAAGTCAGCAATAGAGGTGATCTGAAATATACTGAGGGATATTCCTTGGTCGTGCGATGCTGTTCAGTTGATGGAGCCGCGATATTCGCTTGGAACTCAGGAAAATAGATGATCGGTAGTATGGTGGCGAGTGTTCTTTTTTCGTGTGCTGCTTGATCAGCTAATCGAGTCAAAACGTTTGATTGAAGCTCAGCAGAAGGGATGTTCAGATGTATGATGATGAATTTTCTGTTTTCTTTCGATGTTGAATCCATTGGTGAAGTCGCAACATTGGGTTGGAAGTCAGCAAAAGAGTTGAATAGAAGTTTGCTCATGAATGTTGCTTTTTCATGTAATGCTGGATGAGGTGATCGGGTCGCAACGCTGGCTTCCAAATCAGTAAAAGAATTGATTAGAAGTATGCTCATCAATGTTGCTTTTTCACGTAATGCTGCAACAGGTGATCCAGTCGCAACGTTCGGCTGAAAGTCAGTGAAGGAGGTGATGAAAAGTATGTTGATGTAGCTTCCGTTTTTGTGTGGTATTTGGTCAGTTGACCGAGTGGTAAACCTTCCTTCGAAGCGTCGAAACAATAGAACAGAAGGGTTTTAATGAATGTTCCTTTTTTATCTAATTTTTGATCTGCCAATTGAGTCGTCTCGTGTCATTCGAAGCGCTGAAGCAATTGAACAAAAGAATTTTAACGAATTTTCCTTTTTCATCTGATTTTAGATTAGCTGATCAAGCCGCGATGTTTGGTTGAAAGTCAGTAAAAAAGTTGATCAGAAGTATGCTGATAAAAGTTCCTTTATCATGTAATGCTCGATCAGCTGATCAGACCGAAGCCTGCGCTTGTATATGAGGATGAAGGTGGCCAGCAGTATGATCAAGAATGTTCCATTTTCATTTGATGATTGATGAGCTGATCAAGTCGCAGCTTTTGCTTGAAAGTCACGTAAAGAGGTAGTCAGAAGTATGATCATGAATGTTCCTTTTTCGTGTGATATGTGCTCAGCTGATCGGGTCCCAACGTTCGCTTGAAAGTGAGAAAAAGAGGTGATGGGAAGTTTGCTGATGATTGTTCCTTACTCATGTGATGTTGGCTCAGCTGAGAGAGTCGGAACGTTCGCTTGAATGTCAGTACGAGAAGTGATCAAAAGTATGCTGATTAGTGTTCTTTTTTCATATGATATTGGATCAGCTCATCGAGTCGCAATGTTCGCTTGAAAGTCAGTAAAAGACGTGATGATATGTATGCTGATGGATGTTCCTTTTTCATGGGATGTGGATCAGATGATCGAGTCGCAACGTTCTTGGGAATATCAGTAGAAGATGTGATCAGAAGTGTGCTGATTAATGTTCTGTTTTCATGTGATGTTGGATTAACTGATTGAGTGGCAGCATTCACTTGAAAGTCAGGAAAAGGCGTGAAGAGAAGTATCGTGAGGAATCTTCCTTTTTCATTTGATATGGATCCGGTGGTGTAGGCGCAAGGTTTCCTTCGAAGTGGCAAAGCAGTTGAACTGAATGATTATAATGAATGTTCGTTTTTCATCTGATGTTGGAGGAGGTGGTCGAGTCGCAACGCTCCCTTCGAAGCGGTAAAACAGTTAAACAGACGGATTTTAATGATTGTTCCTTTTTCATCTGGTCTTGGATCAGGGGATCAAGGCGTAAAGTTAGCTTGAAAGTTAGTAAAAGAGGTGGTCAGAAGTATGATCATGAATGCCCCTTTTTCATGTGATGTTGGATCAGCTGATTTAGTCGCAAGGTTTGTTTAAAGTCAGAAAAAGAGGTGATCAGAAGGATCGTAGTGAATCTGCCTTTTTCATGTGATGTTGTATCAGGGTATCAAGTCGCAACGTTTGCTTGAATTACAGGAAAATAGGTGATCAGAAGGATCGTAATGAAACTTTGTTTCTAATGTGATGTGCGATTGCCTGTCCGCAACGGAGCGTTTGGTGCGACGTTAGTGAAATAGGTGAACGGAAGTATGGTGACGCATGTTCGTTTTTTGTTTAATGTTGGGTGAACCGATCGAGTGGTAATGTTTGCTTTGAAGGAGGCGAAACAAGTAAACAGAAGTGTGATGATGGATGATCTTTTTGCATGGGATCTTCGATGAGATGACTGAGTCGATAGGTTTGGTTTGGCGTGAGTAAAGCGTGGGAATAGAGTTTTGACGATAAATGTTTGTTTGGCATGCCATGTTCAATGGCCGACGATGTCGGAAGCTTTGCTTGGAAGTGAGCAAAAGTGGTGATCTGAAGTATAATGTTGAATGTTCTTTTGCCATGTGACATTGGTAGAGCTGACCGATTCGTCATAGTTGCTTCGAAATCAGGAAAATTGAAGATTAGTTGTTTGTTGATGATTGTTCCTTCGCCAGGTTATGTTGGATAAGGTGACGGGATCGGAACGTTTTGCTTTGAATCAAAGAAATACGAATACCATAGCGTCTGTTCAGGAACGGCCCTTTGCCGTATGATGCTCGATGTGCTGACTGTGTTTCGAAGCTTCTGTCGGAGTGAACAAAAAGAGTGAACCGGATATGGGTGTGATACAAGTGAGCAGAAGAATCACACCCACACGCACCCAAAGATTAAAATGCATTGATTACTTTGTCTTCGTTTCTTTGATTTAGCTTTTTATTGCACCTGTAGTGATAACCGTGGGAGTAAATTCAATCCAATCATTATTCGCTTTCTTTTTTTCTGAATTTGCAAATGGATCATTACGATACCTACCCATGTAGCCGATAATGTAAAATAGTGGACATTATTTTCTATTATCGGCTACATGGGTAATACAGAATTCGGGAGATGAAATCATTCAAAGTCAATTTTGAGCAGGCTAGACAGGTTAGCCTGGCCTCGTCTGGTGGCTTGGTCGTTATTTGCCTGGCCTAGCAGGTGGCCAGGTTGGCACCTCTGATCTGTACAAATCTCACACATCGACGGATGCTTTTGTTCTAAATTATGTAGATTGGTTGCATCACGATTTTTATCAATAACCAAATCAGGTTCTTCGGAATTTTCTACAAAATAGGATTATTCGTTTTAAGAGAAAAATATATTTAGAAAATAAAATTCTTACCAGATAGACATTTTTGGCCACCACTTGATATAGCTATTTCATCAATCCAAATTTTTAGTACTCTATCATTTATAACCTGAATTCTTCTTCTACATTCATTATTTACTTGCATGTAACTTGGAAAATTTGGACTAGTAATAACTCCGTTTATATTTGAAATTGAATCACTTATATAACAAATATGATATGTTGTTATATTCGCTGTACCTCCAATCGATTTACTTGGTGTATATTGACTCGTTGCATGTAAATAATCGGCATAATTATCTGAACACAATGCTAGTCGACGTCTAGGCTTCATCATTAACAATATGATTTAGATGATGTTCGTTTGAACAACTTGAATATAATAAATTAATTGAGCATTGCTCACACAAATCTGCGCTGCCAGTTTCACCATCTTCTATAAATCTGATTTTATTCACTCTACAAATTGGTAAATAATCATTTAGATTAATATCAAGTGAGTAAATATTCATAATAGAATCTGCATATGTTTTCAATCGATACGTACAATTCATTTTTTTAAGAGTTGGATAGTTATAACTTTAAAAACGACCACGCCGATTAATTTCTGCTGGAACTTTAGAACCATCTAGTGGACATGAAGTATTGAAAAGTAGCAATTTTATTACCACATGGTGCAACCAATTGATTTCCTGAATAGAAAAATGGACAGTTTTGATGACACGACAGTGCTGTTGCTATTGTAGTTGTACAATGTTTATCTGCCTCATGTACTTCACATTTATTGAATTGAGTAACACCAAATATATTTTTCGTAATAACTATGCCATAATTATCTGGACATTGAATTGTACATGATTTGTCTAAAAAAGAAAAAGTTATAAATTTCAGTGGAATCGATCACTTAGATATATTACCTTGACACAGTTAAAAAATTCGAATTGATGATGCTATCCCAAGTGTAGCATAAACAGGTGCAGTGGTAGCTTGAGATTGACGAATATTTATTTCTGATGGTAACGATGTTATTGTTCCATCCAGATTGAGACAAGTATCATTTTTCGATTGATATACTATGTCAAAATACATTCTCATCCCACGATATATTAATGAATGTGTTCTAACAAAATATTGAATAAATATATCGTGCATGTGCATAGTGTCGATACGTTCGAATCAGGGTTGCCAACTG